GCATCTGATTGGATGACGACCTGATGACGACTCACTTTAAACTTGCTGAGCACGCGCAGTTGATCATTTTTCGGCCGGTCGCCTGAAAAAAAGTCGGTACGTGATAACGTAATCTTCCGCAGTGTTTACGACGGTCAGTTACGTCTCTTGTATGTCTCTACTCTGTGGTTTTATTTTGAAAAATTTGTCCAGTAACAGGATGCGAGCATCCCGCATAGTCACAGAGAAAAAAATCGAGAAAACACCGCAAACTTTCGTAAATTTATCAATTACAGCAACACATACAGTGTCCCACGAGAATTACTAATACAACAGCATCACTACTGGATGTTATCCTCACTTATTATGGTGATGATAAAATATTAGATACAGGAGTAATACACCTTGGTATCAGTGATCATAGTCTTGTTTATCTGTGTCGAAAGCTCAGCATTCCTAAGGCGCCACCAAAAACTGTCTTTACTAGACATTATAAAAATTATAATGTTAACCAGTTTAACAACGATCTAAGTGAGGTTTTTAGTTTGTCCTTGGATTCAGCTATTTTAACTGACCCAAATGCCTTATGGAACGATTTTAAAAATAAGTAGTTTTGAGCGTCGCAGATAAACATGCACCAATCAAACAACGTCGTGTCAAGAGTAAATATAAACCGTGGCTGACAAATGAAATTAAGCAAATGAGCTATCGTAGGGATTACCTTAAAAAGCAATCGATTAAATTAAGATCTGCGTATTATGATAAGGCTTACAAGAGATGTAAAAACAAGTTAAATAATCTCATAAAAGAAACTAAACAAGAATACTTTAGAGATAAACTAAGCAATGCTAAAAATAGCAAAGAAAGTTGGCGAACTATTAACGAATTATTAAACAAAAAGCCTAAAACTTCAGAGGTTAAAGAACTAGATATAAATGGCCAACTTATTACTGACGATGATAAAATTGCAGATGCCTTCAATCAATATTTTTCCACAATTGGCAGTACGTTGTCTGACAAGATCACAGGTAACTGCACTGATCCAATGAACTTTGTGACTCCTCTTGATGGTAGTATATTCAACTTTACAAGCATTACACTCCAAGAAACAATAGATGCACTCAATGAAATTAAAACTAAGAAATCTCCAGGGCTTGATGGTATTAGTATAAGGTTACTAAAAGATGCATCTAACATTGTGGCAGGACCACTAGTGCAGGCGCGGATCCAGCCTAAACCCTGACCGTGGCGCACTCCAAAACCGCGCATAATTAGGGGGGTCCCCCCGGAAAATTTTTGAAATTTGAACCCCGGAAATGCCATTTCCTGAGTTCTGAGCATCGAATTCTATCATATAATTCGTCATTAATTACGCCATATTTTAGACAGCAAATAGCGAAACGCACTAAATAAGTCAAATATTTAAACAACATACCATGTTCTTCAGCAAACGTTACAACATTAGAATGTTACAAAATCACCGTACTTACATAAAACAACAACAAAGGCTGCTTACAACAAAGGCTGCGCACGTTTGCACACACTGACGCAAAAAACCACCGTTTGCCACAGCAGAGTAAGCCAACCATGGAAATCGTGATAACCATGCCAACCGAAAACATCTACCAATATTTTCGTGTGGAGGAAAGGAAAAATCAGAACCAGGTTTCCAATGATTGCACAGAATTTCGTACTTTTTCGAATCAGGAAGACTGGACACCAGATTTACGTAGTTGTATACATCATCTGGCCACGAATTGGTAGAAGTTCGTTGTGTTTTGGTGTCAGATTTTTCTGAAGTACGACCAGTGTTGGGAGTTACAGATGAAATTCCTTTACTAATACTGGGAAATTTGATTTCACTGTCGACACTTTCTTGTGTGTTGCATGCTCGTTTCACAAGAAGCGCATCGATCTAAGCTAATTTGTTTTCTTTTTGTACCAGTCGTCTGCTTTTTAGTAGATGTAGTCACTTGTGTAGAGGAAGGAGCAGAAGAAACTTTAGTAGAAATTTTAGGAGAAACTGTAGGAGGAACTTTAGGATGAACTGGCATGGCAGACTTCAATAAGGTTGGAAGGCGTGCTTTAAAATAATGGTTTTGTGAACAAAATGATTTTTGGTGGATGGAATTCTTCGATCAACCAAATAAGACGGTGGCATCGCAGCAAAACGAAAGATATGGACATATTCAGTTGCACTGCCATCAATGAAGATAATCCCGTGGATATATTGTACAATTGAATCCAAGGAATCCCAATTTTCTTTCGCTACAGTATCATTGCCTTGGTGAGTGGGTAGTATTACTGAATGGCACACTGAATATTTACTGTGGACAAGGCAAACATGCACACCATGGATGAGAATGTGTAATTTTTTGCAGTTTCCTTTGCTTCTTCTAAAACTGCTGCAATTTCATTAGAATTCTCGAAAAAAGTAAGAGTGCTGCATCAGATACACACATGGCAAAGGCATTTTTAAGTGAAGTGAATGCTACGTTTTTATGCTGGGACTCAATGAGGGGATGGTTATAGCATAGTATTTGGCATTCTCAAACAGTTCAACACTGGTGAGGCATCTCAAGTGAGCAACTTGCCAGACAAACTCTCATTCCCAATTAACGCAATAGAACATGCATTAAAGAGACAATTCCCATTAGCCGAAGTACTGAAAGAAAATCAGCATTTAAGTATCAATGGTTATTTTATATTATTTTGTGAATATTCTATTGAAACTTTTAACCAGAATGTCAACTTCTTTGTACCAGACATAGCCTGATAACAGACCTACGTTTCGCCTGCCCTAAAATTCGCGGGTCGACAA